GATTGGGTTTGCGACCCCCGAAAACCCCAAAATTGAGTCCTCCCTCACCCGTTTTCATCACAAAACGGGCGAGATTCACCATTGCACCTCTCGCTTTCTCCCTCCCATCGCTATCTCCGCGCACGAGTTTCTCTTTCTATTTCCAGGTTTACTAACCCCTCACTAAGTCTAACCTCTTATTTGCGTTCGCCCGGGGTAGAAACCCCTACTTCGAAACACCACTTGTCAAAAACGGCAGAGAGACTATCGAACTAACATAATTTCCCTCTCGTTCATTCCCCTTCCGCCATAGCCCCTCACGCAAGTTTCTCCCTACTAACTCCGCGATCTACTAGTTATCTCCCTAATCCAACTACATATTCGTGGTCGCCCGCCCCGAAAACCCCTATCCCATCTTTTACTTCACTCGATTCTACCAAGAATCGAGTGGTATCTCGTTTTCTTCTTCCCGTCTTTTCCTCTTCTCCGCCATAGCCCAACGCAGCCCTTTCCTGAACTAACTCCTGACTCACTAACTCACCGCTAAAAACTGACCAGAGATTCTAGATCGCCTTGTCCGAAAACCCCTATCTAGACTCTTACCCCACTCGATTCTGTCAAGAATTGAGTGATAACTCGATTTTTCTTGTTCACCTTATTCCCGAGTGCCCCTGACCCGAATTAGCGCCCACATTCAGTTTCTTTTTCCTAATCTTTTCTCCCTTACTTTACATGCACCCTGCACCGGGCTCTGTCTCGATCCTTTTGCTCTCTCCCTGTCTTCTCCTATTTGCCTCTACCATAGCCCGCTCGCCTGAGCCATCTCTCCAATAGGTAAGTTGCCGCCCCCGTTTCCGCCAGGTAAGCTTCCTCACTCTCTCTAGTGCTGCGCTGCCTGTCCTCCCCTCCTACTGTTAGCGCAACGCCCGACACCCGCAATGGCCTGGTCTCATTACACGACAACCCTTGTTACTCCGTTCCCCCTATACCGCGCAGTGCTGGCCCGACGGCACGTAAATGTCAAGACCCAGAAAAGCGTCCGGTCGTCGGACCTCGTTCTGATTTATGCGAGTTATCCTTACGCAGGGGTCATGCTAAACTTCTCTGTATCATTCCAATTTTAACGGATGTCCCGGAGGACACAGCCTGGGCCGCGGGGTCAATAGGCCCCGCCCCCCCCCAGGTAGTTCAAAAAAATTTTAGTTTTACTCACCAAGTTCCATCACATGAATTCGAACACAGCTCTACATTTCAACAGTTCATGGGTGTACCCACTGAGCTTGGCCGTTAGGCCTCGGGGGTAACCACGACCCTGCGTCCCAAGGCAAAACGGGGCGCGGCCCCGGCACAGCCACAAAAACAGTTTGTAATTGCTCTTCGGGCATCCCTGCGGATACAACACCCCCCCGCGCGCTGCTACCGCAGTCTCGCGCCCTCAGGATACGACAWACAAAACAGATAGGGGAAAYAGGATAAAATAGGAACAGGGTCGGGGAACAACGGGCTGCTAGCGCCTCGCCAGCCCCCGCTGACCGGGCCCGCCGCCACGCCTACAAACAAAAACCGAGAGGGATAGCCCTGGCCGCCCTCGACCCCATCGRTTCCTTCCACGACGCTCCGCTACAGTTGYTGCGCCGACGCCCGCTGRCCTCCATCCTCAAACCTCCGTTGYAATAGTCCGATGTCGTAATCTATAGGGCTAAGCCCAAGCCTGAGACCAAAACACGCCGGGTGCCATATAAGACGGTGTGGCGCGGCGCTTTGGGCCAATAGAMCRGCTGCGCGGCTCTCAGTGCCCGCGCAGGTTCGCTTATACCATGCCATAATTGCCCCGCGCGCCATCCTACGACACCCCGCTCACCGCACGAAAGTCGCGCCGTCGTTGCCGATGCCGTCGTCGRGTTCGTTCTCCGCAAGCGYGTTCGACTCGGTCAAAAGTACCAATCAAAAGAAAATATCCTTAATTCCTGCTTAATCAAAAATAAATAATAAATAATATCACCTAAGCAAAACGACCGAGGTCCGAGCCGACTCTTACGATCAACAACAGAAAAGAATCACGGGCACCTTAAACCTGCGCGCTCACACACTCGGTATTGTGGTCAACCACCCAGTCAACGCAATTACAGACGCAACCGCGCTTAGCGCGGTATACTTCAACTTTAAACCAAAACTGTTTTCTGTTACTTGCAAAAAATGCAGGGCGGATACCCTTGTAAGGGTATTCGCGCCGACAGCTTACCGGACCATATTAAGCGACGTCCCCGTCGCTTCGCCAAATCAGAAAGCTATAAATTCATCCGCACTCCAAATGCTGACGAAAGAGGAGCCAATCCGATTAGCCGACCAACACAGGGTAGAGGCCTCCATCAAACCATGCCTCCAGAACTATATGCTGCCAGGTTTCTAACCCGGGCCTCTTACTGCCCAGAAATTAGGACGCTGACAATCATAAGTTCCAAAGACCTTCCCAATCGTCCTCTCCCCGGTCCTAGACAACCTTCGACTTCTCGTTGGGTGTCCCTAGTCCTGGCAAAAACTAGGGACGCGGGCCTTAACCGAGACCTTTGAAGACACTCTCGCCTTCCTTCTCAAAATCTCTCGCAATCAAATATACATAAGTATATATGTATACTTAATATCCACTCGGCTATTTTTGCAGTCTAGTACAGAAAGGCCAGGTCTCCATCTTGGCCCACCATAGCCTGGTTGATCAAACCAGGACTACGGCCCACCGCATTGTTATTTAACGGCAGTACCCTCGTTGGTTACGCAACGATAGGGTTTCTCCTGATAAGCACTCAATCAGGACCTCCAAAAATCTCAACCTTCACTATCCCACGGAGTAATTTCCCTGGGGCGGGCACCCCCCCTTAAACTCTTACCCCGCAGTCCCGCAGCCAGGTTGCGCCGGCTAGCAGCCATCCAATGGGGTTACGCCCTAGAGGTACTAACTTCTTTTCCGTTAGCTTGGCCTTTCTTCAATATGTCTCAGAATTAGCACTAGTGGTTAGACGGGGCGTCGCAAAACAAAAACACTGGCCCACCTCGCGATCACGCAGGGGTCTGAAGACATTTACCAGCTCTTTCACATTTGGTATCCTTCGTACGCTCACAAACAAAATCACCGCTAGGTCCACCAAGCCGTGACCCCTGACTTGATCAGAGCCAGCAACCACTTACTCTGAGACATCTCTTGCCCTCCACTCATTGCGACTTTCTCAATCATTCCAAACAAAACTGACCCTCTTCGTCAGACTTTATCACTCATCAGACAACTTACCATGCCATAATTCAGTTTACTCACCTTTGAAGGTGAGTCTTCCAACAACAAAAACATCCTCTTTTTCAAAAATCCAAGGGGCTCTCATCATGAAACAAAACACCCCCTCTTCCAAAAATCACGAGGGGTCTCGCCATGAAACCAAACTTCCCCTTCTCAAAATTTTGAGGGGGTCTCATCATAACACACAACATCACAAAACATCCATTTTTTCAAAATCCAAGGGGACTTATCATAAACAAAATCACTGAGACCATCTTATGGGTCCTCATCACAACTTAAGCAACCAACAATCCACATAGTAAGCATTTTCAGCCTCCTGGACTCATAAATCTTCAAAATTCTCACAACCTTTCACAGCGGACTGCACTTCCTCCCCTTATACTCTGCCTTGTCAGCTGTCCGTGGGCAGGTCGCACAAGTATACCGAGGAGTAGACAATTTTGCTTACAATCATATTCACTGTACCCATGCCACATAAGATGTTTTTCACACATTGTCCACACAAACTCATCATTCATCAGAGTACAACCACACATGTGAGAGAGACAAGTGATCGTCACATATAAGAATGGTCCCTGAAATAAAACCTCATCATAATATACACTCAGGGAATAAAATGTCTCACACAGAAAGTGTCTCCAAATCATAGCTCACTCAACTCAAGCTAAACCAAATCCATATTGACAACAACCCCTAGAATACATGTCAGATCTGTCTCTCAAAAGCCAGGGCGTAGGCCACCTGAATATGTACATGCCTCATCTAGATTACCCTGATCCTCAAGATCCCAGCTCAGTAGGAATACTAGAGTTCAGATCTAGACTAGTAGCAATCATCAAAAATGTCTTCTATGTCTTAAGAGGGTATCACACAGAACCTAAGTTGATGCCTCACAAGACACCCGCCCACTTACATAGACAACCGGGCCCTACCTCCTCAACTCCTCTTGGTTTTGCCTATATAACTGAGCCTTAAGTCCATCTGCAGACTTCTCTACTATCCTGCCCTGTCTATCATACATCTTACCCCCTACCTCTGAGACCTTCCCTACTGCCTTATCCTCAAGGAACTCGAGACAGTCCAGAGTCAGATGCACGCCCCTCTTGCAGTAGAAGCATAGTTGATCAATCTTCCTCTTGAACTTCTTCTTCCTGAGCTGAGGGGGTGGCGATGAAGGAGATCCTACCAAGGTACTGACAACCCCCTACTGCTCCGATCGAGGAGCTGCGGTACTAACGACCTCCTGTTGCTCTGTCCCAGGAACTGGTCCCCCAGACCCAGATCCAGTAGCCCAAGATCCTAGTCTGCTCCTCAAATTCCCTGTCGTTGGGACGTACTCAGGTGTGTCCAACCTCTGAGGTCTCCTCTCGAGTGTCTCTCCTGGCACTGCCATGGGCTGCTCCTCAATCTCCTCTGGTCCATACTCAGGTGTGCCCATCCTCTGGAGCCTGCTCTCGATGACACTCTCCGCCTCAATCCCTATCTCTCTCTCAAGGGGCTCCTCTATCCTCTGCTCAGGTGAAAACAAACTCACCTCCTCCTGCATAGTATGCACCGCCTCAAGGAGCACGCCCATGGATCCCTCTGCTGAGCCCTGAGCCGGCTTACTGCTAGATGGTGGCAGCCCCTCCTCTACTGCCAAAGGTACGACTGGGTCTGCCGCCGCCACTGGCAGCGTTGCGAGCTCAGTAGGGGCTCTAAACTCGAACGCCTCTCTCTCTGCCTGTCTCTGGGCTCTCGCCTCCTCTGGCTCCAGGATAACTCTCGCCATAGGTGGCTCCCGGCGAGGCTCTGCTGCAAATGGCTGTCCTGTCAATCCCTGTCCTGGCTGCCTCTGCTCTCCCTGCCTGCTGCTCTCTGGCCTGTCCACCCTTCCCTGGGTTTGCTGCCTCAGGCTCTCGATGATAGCTGCCTGGCTGGCCACCAAGGCCCTGAGTTCCTGAATTTCCATTTCCATAGCCTCCAAGCGTACTCCATGGCTTGCTTCCTTCATCTTCTTCCCTGTCAGATCGCCCTCCAATAACAAGTGCCGGTCAAAAGTGGTCTTGGCCAGGAACTTGATTTTACGATCTAACCTCTTTTCCGCCTTCTTGGCCATCCCAAACCCGGCTCTGACTGGCGATGGAAGTTCCTCTCCTCTCTGCTCTCATAAGTCTCTCCACATCTCAGGAATCTCCGGGGCCTTGGCTGGCGCGCTGGGTGGCTGACCTGGGAGTGCTCCTGCTGCCTCCGATCTCTGCCTCTCCTGTTGCTGCTCCGGGAGCTCCCCCGCTGCCTCCAACCTCTGCCTCTCCTGTCATATCTCATCTATCCGTCTAGTTCTTCTCGCCCTCTTTTCTTTAGCCGTCTCTCCAGTTGGCGCCCTTTCCCTCGTGCGGAGGTCGACCCTCTTCGGGATTTCTGCTTCCATCTCCTTCTCGGGTTGGTACGGCTCCCGGCGCGGCTCTGCAGGTGCTGGCTCCTCCAGGTCTGGATGCTCCAGGGCACAAGCTGCTAGGTGCCTATCAATCAGGGTCAAGGCYTCCCTCYTTACAGYTGCCCTTTCTCTCCTCCTGCCAGCTCTCCCCTCTGGCGATGGAGCCCTCTCTGATGAAGGAAGTGGGGCCTCCTCTCTCCGCAATCTCTCCTCTGCCTGACGAGCGCTCCCTGGTGCATCCCTGAGTCTCAAGCCCATTGCTGGCGCCTGTGGGGGTGTGTCCTCTCCAACCTCCATCACTTCCTTCCCTGCACGTCTCCCCATGTCGCCTAGCCTGCTCTCTTGCTGAGTACCTTGCGCCTCCTCTCGTGGCACCTCCTCTCGTGGTACCTCCTCTTGTGGTACCTCCTCTCGTGGCACCCCTTCTACTTGCTCTTCATGCTTCTCATCCTGAGGTGACGCTCTCCACTAAGAGATATCCAGATGCATCTCTAACTCTCTCAACGGCCCTTCAGACACTGGCGGCTCCTCCCGTGTGTGTGCTGGTGACCTCCTCAATCCACCCTCAGTAAAACGATGGAACTCCACTGGTCCCAACCCACACTCAGGGTATGCCCCTCGCTCTTCAACCTCTGGCTCCCGCTCCGGCTCCTCCTCTCTCCTGGCTAGGGCCTTCAGTCTTCCCCGAGACGGTCTCACCTCCCTGGGCTCAGGGTCCCTCGACCTCTGACTCCTCTGACGCTTCTCAACTCTGGGCTGAGGGGGCTCTGGTCGTCGAAAGGCCTCTCTCAGATGCGCCCTGCAGCTCTCCCAGTCTCGGGCCATGTCCCTGACCTGCGTAGCCAGTGCCCTCTCCGCCTTTCTGGTCCAGAGGGTCGCAACTCCTGCATCCTTCACTCCACCTCTGATCTCGTCGTCGCCTCTCTACGGATCCGCACGATGGGCTCCTCGAATCTGCCTGCTCCCCTCAATCTCTCAATCGCCTGAGCCATGGTCCAACCCATACGTCTCGCATGATCCCAAAAGCTGTTCAGGAATAGCTCGATGTCCCCATCATCGTATACTGGAGTACTCTCTCGATGGCGAGAACCATGTCGCTTATATCCTCCTGATGCTCCCAACGGCCTCCGAGGCGGCCGTGTCCCCCTACCTCCTCTTGGCATGGCTGTCTTCGTAAAGTCAGATCTGCACAACAGGCGAAGGAGACAACAGACACACATTGGGGTAAGCAAAACAGGTGATAATCAAGCAACTTAGACCAGACCACACTCACATAGCATACATCCTACCTAGCCTACACACCCTGCTACTTCTATTCTAAAGGCAGTCAGGTCGTCTCTCTTACCTCTTCTCTCGCCACGAACTTCTTCAGTCGCGTTCCAGATACCCAATCCTTCCACTCAGTCTCATTTAGCTCCTCTATCTGATACGCTCCGAAGTCTCCGACCCGTGCGATCCGGTAGGGACCTAACCACCTCTTATCGAGCTTCCTAGACCATTGCTTCTCCAGTGATGAATCGTAGAGAAGCACGACATCTCCAACTACCAAGGGTACTTTCCTCACCCGCGCATATTGATCCCATCGAGCCTTATTGTCCATACGACTTCTCGCCACTTGGTCAGATGCTTCCTGGATCCTTTCTTCTATCGCTCCTATCTGTCGTGCCCGAATGTCGAGCAATTCTTCAAATGACAGGTTAACTTCAAGATCCTGGCGCCTCCATGTCTTAAGAAAGCTCTCGATAGGGAAGGTGGCGTGCCTTCATACCACAATGTCGTCGGTGCGTGCTTGGTGGATCTTTTTATATTAATGTTCTCGATAAAGAACGTCGTCCTTAGGTATCTTGGCCATTGATTAGGCCTACCTTCGGTCCACTTAGCCAGGAGACTCGTAACGGTACTATGTCCTCTCTCTACGGGAGCATTTGCCTAGGGGTGCGCGGTCGTGGTGTAGTTGGCTGCTACACCATACCTTGATAACAATTCTTGCACCTCCTGGCAGGTAAACTCAGATCCCCTGTCCATTACGAATTCCCTGACGAAAGGGTAACGCAGGTAATATTCCTCAATGCAACTCACTAAGACTAACCCGGTCTTGGTGCGAATAGCACGCCCATCTACGAACCCAGACAGGTTATCGCGCGCATCGAAGATATAGTTATAGCCCTGATCCCCAAGTCGCACAAAAAGCAGATCGAGATGCACTACGGCCCCCACCTCTCGCTCTAACCTTGGATGCAGCGGCTCTGCCTGCCTTAAACGGGATCTCTCCTGGCAGGGCACGCAGGATCGACATAATTTTCCGACCATGTCCATCATTCCATCCCAGTAGTACAGCTCACTTATCTTGGCATACGTGGCTTGTACCCCTCGATGCCCTCCTGCAATGCCATCGTGTAGTGCTGCTACGATGTCGATCTGACGATTCCTACCGCAGACGACCCTCCTGGGATTCCCCACTTCTCTTCTCACAAAAAGGTGGCCGTCTCGCACTAAGTAGAGTTGCAGCATCCTCTAAGCCCTATCGCTTGCATCTCTTAGCCGCATTTCACATGACAGAAGAAGCCCCAGTTCTAGGTAGATCCCGTCGTACTCCTCTGCACGAAAAGCCTCCTTAATCTCTCCTTCCTCGAACTCGTCGTCCTGGCTCTCGGGCACTTCATCCACATTTCCTGTCGAGTTCAACGAGCCTGACTGGTCGAGGCCTTCCTGCAATAACGTGTTGACGAGGAAATACATTCCTCCCATCAGGTCCTCATGCCGTTCTACCTGGCCAGGTCCTTCCTCAATCGTTCTCATGTCCTCCACCAGGCTATGCGAGCTGGCCAGCGCTAGCTTCATCATCCACTAAACATCCTTACTGCCCCAGGGATCCTCTTCCTCAAAGGGCTTAAGGACTAGCTCATTCCTCCTTTCATACCCCTTTGGCACTTGCCAGATAGGATAGCCTACACAGCTGGGCACTCGCGGCGACCATTTGTTGATATGAAGACGAACATCTTCTTCCTGATCCAGAAATCCATCAACTGGGGGCGTATTCTCCACCGCCCCCCTTCCTGCTTATCCCAGTTGATCCGACTCAGCCCGTCTGCCCGGTTCTTACTACCAGGAATCCGTTCCAATTCGAAATTGAACATCCAGATGTACGTCAGCCATCTGGCAATCGTCGGATCCGATGGAACGAAATTATTTAGAGAGTAGGTCAGGGCGGTCGGATCCACTCTCAAAATAAACCTCCTACCGAAGATATAGTTCCGGAAGATTCGCAGACAGTGGAGGACAGCAAGGGTCTCTCTCTTGAACTGAGAGTAGTTTCTCTCCGTCGTACAGAGAGTCCGACTCTCAAATCGCAAGGGCCTTTCCTTTCCTTCCATGTCTGCCTGAATTAAAACTCCCCCTAAGGCAGTCGGTCCCGCATCCGTTTCGACAATGAAGGGTCGCGTCTCTGTGGCGTCATAATCTGGCGCTCCTAACACCAACCCTCCTTCTCGGAATTCCTCTTTCATTTTTGCCACCACCTNCCTCCTTCTCGGAATTCCTCTTTCATTTTTGCCACCACCTCTTCTTGTTCCTCACCCCATACCCATTCCTGATCCTGACGGACCTACTTCCTCTGGTGTTCATTCTTAGCCGCAAAGTTCTTGACGAAGGCCCTCCAAAATCCACACGTACCAAGGAAGCTCCTGACATCAGTTATTGAGTGGAACGGAACTGGCCACTCAGTAATCTTGTCCGTTTTCTTCACATCCGGCCTTCGGCCCTTCTCATTGCAGACGATCCCCAAGATAGTCGCTTCCCTCATGCAGTGTCTGGATTTGGCCTCGCTTGCCGTGAGGTTATGCTCTTCGAGCAGGCTCAGGACCTTTTCAAGGTCCTGGATGTGTTTCCAGACAAAGCGTCTTACCCCTGGTGAGACTTCATCGCTTTCTTTCATCGCCGGCCCTTTCACTGCCAAATCGTCAATGTATGGCTGTGTGATATGGGGGCTGACTGACTGCATGGCCCGAATCATGGCCCGTTGGACCATTGCTACTGCGTTGGTCCACCCTTGTGGGGCCACGTTCATGTGGACTAATCCTCGCGGCGTGTGCATAGCCGTCACCGGCCTATCCGGCGGGTAGACTGGGAACTGATCGTATCCTGAGTAAAGGTCTATAAGCGAAATTATAGGCCTTTCAGCACAGGATTCCGACAGCGCGTCTGCATTCGGCAGTCCTCCAGCATCTCGCACGGTCACTGCATTCAGTCTTTGCAAATCCTGCACCCACCGCAGCGTTCCGTTAGGCTTAATAAAGTAGAACTACGGGGACGCATACGGTCCACTTGAATAGTCGGCAATGTGAGTACGTATCTTGTCGTCGAGGTAATCCACCACCTTCCTTTCCTCGTCAGGATTGGGATATCGCGCCCCTCTCATGTTCCAAGGCTCGTGTGGCATGGTGTGGATGCGGATCATAGGTATCTTGTCTACATCCAGCCTGCCACGCTCCTCGTCACTAAACGAGTAGGCGCGATGCTTCCTCTTCATTAATTCCACCATCAACGTTCGCTCCTGAGGCAGCAGGAAATCAAACTCCCCTATGATCAACTTCTTCTCGTTCCCTTCGTTGATACGACATGGCCCTGCTAAAGCACTTTCCCTCATTTGTCGAATCAACCCTCGTTCCCTCTCGTAATATGCTTCCTCGTCCTCTGTAACAAGGACGGGTACTGGGCAGCACTTCTTGTCTACCGTCTTATACCGCCTTTGGGAACCCTGCTTGAGCCGTCCCCTAAAAAAGGCCGACTCGCGGATTGTGTTTGCGCTGATGCGGGGTTCCCTCCACTGCTGGGAGTCGATATACCAATTTCAACCTTCCTGCCTCAGGGCATTCCAGAACTTGTTCCCTCAAGGCCTGGATGGCATCCGGATCTGCCATCTCATGCGCGGCCACCAGGTCCATGGTCTTCCCAACATCTTACAGGCTGAGGGAAAATGCTTCCACCCCCTCTCTTGCTTCGGGCTCTGCCCAGAGCCTCCTGCGCTCCCTTTTCGACTCCTCGATTGTGAATGATCCTGGATTGGGTCGGTTCCTTATACTCCTTGGCCCGGTATTCCTGCAAATAATTATTTCATAATTCCCGCAGGCAGGATCGCATAAAAGGAGGATCAACGTCCCATCATTTTGTTGAACATCACGGTCTCTGTCCTGCTTAGGAATGACATCCCCAAGAGGATTCCATGGTCCACGTCTGGCATTATGAAGAAGCATGCCCTGGCCTTCACCTTTCCAACCTCGACGAGCACATTCGAGGCTGTCCCTCAAAACATGGTCTTACAGCTGGCTCCATGCAGAATACCGCAGTCAGAACGGTCTATATCCAGCCCGAATCTGATCGCGTCCGCCTCCCGAATAATGTTCATCTCTGCCACGGTGTCCACCATTGTTGCGCACTTGGAACCCTTCACCATCAAATCCATCGTACCGCAGGCTACGCACTTCCAGTCCATCTTCGTACCTGACTCTGCCCACTCTGCCTCCTTGGGCAGGATCATACCCAGATGGACATTGGGCACCAGGCGCCGYGATAACCTCCCCTTCWGTTCATCGCGGAGTCGCGGGGCTGACGCTAGGATTTCCTTCAGGGTCATGAGGTCATTATGCCCTTCCAGCAGCCGGTCAATCACCTTCTCTATGTCAAATCCCTCTTCCAACCGGACCGCGTATTTCTTCTTTTTGGGCGGTCCGTCATGTATGGCCGGTTCGGCCTCTCCCCTGGTTCCCTTTTTCCTTGCCCGCTGCTCCGCTCTCTGATCCTCTTCTCTGCGCAGCCTCTCGTCCTCTTCCTCTTCATCATCGTCGTCCTCTACTTCTACAGCCTCTTTCCTTCTCCTTGGTTCGTGTTCCCTCCTTGGAGGCTCTTGGCTGGTACTGGCCTTGCCTTGATTCCTCGTTTGCGCTGCCTGTGCCAGCCGGGCCTGCGGAGTGAGGGGCCTCCCCCTCATTCGTGATTGTGGGCACGACCCCACCACATTTACTCCGGGTCGCCCAGGCGCTGACTCCGGGCCGGAGTCATAAAGGAATACTGTGGGGATGTTAGACCTCCATCCCTTCACTTCTTCACAGAGGCCCACCAACTTCTGTTGGTACCTCCCCATCTTATCCAGCAAGTCCTCCATCTTCTTAAATAAGACGAACGGAGGCTCCGTTCTTTCCTTCTCATCCTCGTCATCTGACTCGATGATTATGGCCTCTTCCGTCTCACTTCTTCCTCGTAGCCCTTTAGTCACTTCCTCATCGCTTCATACTTCTTCCACCCCAATCTGTGGTTTCTCCTTTTCCTGCCATAGCCTGAACATGGCAGGGGGTGGCGGCCCAGCTGCCGCTCTTCGTTGGGCTTCATCCCGCACTCCTCCAAGCCTTCTGTCAATGGCCTCCCCAAACTGATCGTAGATATTCCCATCCATAGTAGAGAAAATCAGTGCGCTTCTCTCGTCTTCCCGTCTTATATTACAGAACCTTATAGTGTGGCCTTGCTGGTCACAATGTTAACAGATGGCCGTCCTCTAGTCAAAGCGGGGTCTTCCATACCCCTGCCTTCCCTGATCCCCCTGACCTTGATACCCCTTGCCTTGATAGCCCTGGCCTTGGTACCCCTGGCCTTGACTCCCTTGGCCTTGGTACCCCTGGCCTTGACTCCCTTGGCCTTGGTACCCCTGGCCTTGACTCCCTTGGCCTTGGTACCCCTGGCCTTGGCCATTCCATTGCCTTCCTCTTCCGCCGCCATTCCTGCCTCGCCCCTTTCCTCCACCCCTC